GTGACTAAACTTTCTCTTAGAATGCGTTTTCTTTGAGGATATCCCATCCATTGTTTTGGGTATAAGAAGTAAAAAATAAAGATGTCTCCTTTCTTATGAATCTCAATGACGAAAAAGACCTTTAATGTTGGTCCCAAAGAGATACCGTTAAACAAAGAGAATGTTCTCGAAAAACTGTGACTTTATCTTAACGAAGGTCAGCAGATTTAGACAAATAAAAGTTTTTAAATATGTTTGGTTACTTAATTCTGATGAGATCTCTTTGAACCTTGAAAATGGTTTAAGTTTGCTCTTCTAATTGAAAAGGATGGTATAAACACACAACATACTTTCGCTGAAATTATTGCGAATTGTGTTGGGTACACAAAACTTCTTTGAATTGTTCCTTGCTTCGTTATGATTGGTCAAGAGATATATTAAGCGGGTTTAACTTCTGAAAAAATATTATGTAGAACAACTAATAGTCACAAGATACTTGATTGTATAACCAGATTTTAATATTTTAAGTTTGAATTCTTTATAGAAAACTATATAAAATTGATACGAATCACTAGTTTTCCCAATCAATGTGTCATAATTTCACATAATAAATTTATATAGAACCACATAATTTAAATTTAACTGTCAAAACTTAATTTTTTCTACTGAAGAAATTATTCATGAATTTTAATTTAAATAATAGGTAACATATAAAGATTTAGAAATCCATCCCGTCACGTGCGTTTCGATGGAACTTCACATTTCTGAAATCATTCATGCTTAAAAAAGCTCATGCTCACCCATAAACATATACATCACACAACCCTGGCTAAGTACCTAGCCCGTTTTTCAAAACTTTATCTTTTAACGGCCAAGATACGATTACCATGAACGGTAACTCCATTCATAGTAAAGCCAGTCAGACGACGAGGACTGCGTCGCATCTTTACAAATTTCCACACCACATCCAACGAGAAGACTTTCAGCCACTGCAGATTTAGCGCGCACCTTGCTATCTAGCAGGCATAATGCGCATGCTCAATTACTTCAAAACTGAATGTGAGAGTAACAGTAGAGAGATTTAGCACTTTCAAGTAGATAAATCTGCATGCTACATGTTAACAATATGGAAGAATTTACCCCGACCCGCCCTTATTTAGGGTATACGGGTAAATGTTTATTAAAATCCAAAAAAAAAAAAAAAATATCCAGAGAACAGTAGAAACATAAATTACATAAAATACACATCAGACATGGCAACAGCCCATGAACATGGCGGGCGTAGAACAGCTAAAATCATGTAAGGTGCTAAACATTAAAACAGCAATATATTAAAAGTGTCAATTAAAAGAATAATTTAAAAGAGCAATTTAAAAGATAAACGTGCAAAAATTACAAGAGAACAATATTGTAAAACAATAAAAAGCATTACCATTAAAACCAATTAAATAGTACATAAGTAAATAACAATAAAATTGGAGCAAGTAAAAGAAGAATAGTTTATAAAAGACATAGTAAAAAAAATGAGACACCCAAGCTGGAAGGAACAAGTTCCGAGACATTAAAGACCGTCCCCCAATACATCCTCTAAAGTTTGTTTAATAATCTTTTTTATGATATTTCTACAAGTCAGGTTAGCATAGCATTGATGTTGGCCAATATTATTAAAGTTATTGATTTTCCGGAGTTATTGATCCGGATTGTCTGGAATTGAGAACAATTTATTAACAAGTGATCAATAGATTGATATTCACCACAGTTACATGTTAACAATATGTTCTGCAAAGTGTACAGAACATATTGTTAACATGTAACTGTGGTGAATATCAATCTATTGATCACTTGTTAATAAATTGTTCTCAATTCCAGACAATCCGGGGCAATAACTTTAATAATATTGGCCAACATCAATGCTATGCTAATATTGGCCAACATCAATGCTATGCTACATGTTAACAATATGTTCTGCAAAGTGTACAGTTTGCTACAGAAAAAAAAAATGTTCTCAACAGAGTTTGGGCAAAGCTTACGAGTGTTCAATATCTTTGGTATTGCTAAATCTTTCCATATTTTAAATTACTGAGTGGGGATAATTAAGTCATATAAACTGGACGACATGGAGACCTTAACATTCGATTTATTTGTTTATTAAAAAAAAGAAGTATAACTGTTTCAATTTTAATTTTAAATATAAATTCGAAATTGCTATTTAATGCTTTTTTCAAACAGGAGATTGCTTTCAATAAAAATAGAATTCTTTATTTAAAACAGAAGAAAGAGAAATTAATTGTTAGACGTTTATAATGATATGTTTGGTCGTTCACTTGAAGTGTAGATTAATAGCTAGAATAAATATTTCATAATAATAAAGTAAATCGTCTATTCTAAGAATCTCAGAAATTAATTAGATGCCGCAATTTAAATACTGAAAGCATATTATACACCATTATGAATCACAGAGTTCAATTCTCAATCCAATTTCTAACATTACCATGTGGGAGTTACTAACTCATTTTTCCACTAGGATAGCTATATATAACAGAAATTCGATTAACTCCTGCATGCAAAACAGTATAACCCTTCCAATTCTATTAAACGAGAAATTAAATTTCCATGTGCGAACACTATCCATTATCGAAACTCTTGTGGTAAAATAAAAGTGACCTCTGAGGTCACACGTGTGGCTATTAAAAGAAACTACCGCCTAAGAAAAAGGCCCGGCAATTTTTTCTGACACGTGTAACCCTGCCCTCACCTTCTTTTAAAACTCTTCATTAATTTCGTTCCTCTCGTTCATTTGTAACATTTCAAAACGCGATGTCAGTAGCTCAAATAATAATAATAAAACAAGTCTGGGCTCTGAAACATTATGTTAAGCCTGGGGCAGATTGTTGAATATTCATCTTCTCGGGATGTTGAACATCTGGGAGCCCTGTTGTACGATCACTAGGAAATCCCTGTCTTCTGTTTTGGTATTTTGCTTTTTTGGATGTTCATTAACAGTTCAAAAGCCTTCGCAGAATTTGAAATAATTTTTTCTTAATCAGTATTTTAATAGTTCACGCATCTGTTCACCTTAGATATTTTACTTTTCAGTGATTAAAAAAGTTTTCTAATTAGAACAAGAGAAAAACATTTGACTAAATTCTTATGATAAGTAATTAAATCACAATAAAAAATAGTAATGAAACAGACATATTACTTTCAATAGCTTAAAAACTCTACAAACGTATTAAAATGTGCCCAATTATCAGTCAGATATTATTTAAAAAAGTTATACACAAAATTCAAATATTCAAATCAAGTATTGCAAAGGTGATTAAATTACTATCACAGGCGGTATAAATTGGGTCGGAATGTATAAACCTACAGTAAAATTTGTGTTATCAGACAGCTATCTATAAATTATATGCAAAATTTGAATCACAAGTTATAAAATGGATTATCCTACCTAACTATTGTAAGGGGTATACAAAATGCACATTTGGTGAGAAATTAGAAACTTGCGGTAATATGTGTGGTATCAGATAGGTATCAACAAACTATGTGTAAAATTTTAATCAAGTACTGTAAAATGGATTCAATTACTTAACCATCATAAGCAGTATTCAAAGTATACATTCGGTATAAATGTGTGAATCTACGATAAAATATTGAGGTATAAATCATTTCCATGGTGGGATAAATTATCTCCATCTAACCATGCATGGACAGGCGCTCACGCGAATCTCATTTTATTACTCGCCAACAAACGGTGTTTTCACACGCCAGTGGAGAATGGACTACACAACAACCTTATTCAGCACCAATTAGGAAGAATAATTTTGTACCTGAGGAATAGATGAAGGCCTTGGCATTGAAAAGAACAAGCTACCTTTTGAGAAGGAGGCTCGGGGCAATATAAATAAAATTAAACCCTTTTTCTTGTTTTTGTGGTTCCGGGCCATGATTTGCAAACAGTGTTTGAGACATTAATCAGGAGTGCATGAAGCTTTCTCAATTTGGTTGAGATAACCTTAACCATCCAGATATGAAGAGGTTTTCCCACAATGCTAGATTGAAACAGCCTGCTTGTTTAGGCTAGGCGATTCTTCTTTATACACTTAGTTACCCGTGAAAATTGATTAAAGTTTTTCCGGAACTGCGTTTTTAATTTAAAATGCTTATAGTATGGTTAAAGAAAACTGTTAATATGTTTACAAATGAAAATCTTTTCTCTAATTATACCTTTAAATCTATATACAAATAAAATTATTTCCAGATCACTGAAAATTGTCGATTAATCAAATTATGAGACCATGAAGCAATAAAATATCGTCATGAGATAAAAATGGATAAGAGGCACATGGATATAAGAATCTCTTTTATATTTCACTTTTTCATGCAAACTGATGTTAAAACAACTGCGGTACTTATGAAAAAATTTCTCGGAAACTGCAATTCTATAAAAGTTTCTTATCAATACAGCTTCTGTTATAACTTATGTACTCTACATTACTTAAAAAGAAGTTGTATATCATTAATAGAAGAGTTTACGCTATTTTTATTTTTTAAAGATTTTTTTAGTAGAACTGTAGCCTTTTTTTCTAGAGGCAACCTGTATTTTTTAAACAGTTTTACATTGAAATTTTTAGCTACGAAATTCTGTAAATTTAAGATAAACTATTAGTGAAAAAAAGGAAAGAAAACAGTTAAATATGTTTAAAAGAAACTTAGGAAGATGCAATGAAAGCCATCTTAAAATTTTAAATTAAAATTTTCGATAATATTTTTAGAATTCTGATTGGAAAAAAAACACTATCATTTTATAAATAAGTGTGCATTTAACTTCGTTGGATGCACATTGGAAAAAAAGACATCTTAAATGTTTAAATGAAAATTAACGGTGACATTTTCAAAATTTTAATTTAAAAATATTTTATAAAATCGAACTTTTAGAACGAATTGAGATGAATCGACAATCTGATTATGATGCAAGTTTATGTATTTAAAATATATGTCATATTTTTCTTTCTTTGTAGTTTCATGGAAGACTTTATTGGGTCTGGAGGTGTGGAGTGCTTGCTTGAAGTACTACGCGTCTGTCAAGCTCGTCAAAATGATACAAAAGCACCAAAGGGTCGTCAACAACAAACTATGCTCCGAAAAATATCGGTAATTTGCATTGCATTCCATTACAGTTGTAAATATATTTAGTAAAAGTTATGTAATTATGAGTTAAATACTTAGCAACGTTCTTGTTGGCTTTTAATATATTTTAAAATATTGAAAACTAACAATTGAAGTTGATAACATTTTTAGTAAATGTTATCATCTTCAAACTAACATTTCTGATATTTAAGGTGAAATTGCTTGATAATTGTATGCCGTTTTGTAAAGTCAATAGGAATAAAACTACCTTAATCTACTTTAATTTCTACATTTAAAATTTTAATTTATTATTATTATTATTTTGAAAAAAAAATATGCTTGCCAAAATTGTATAATCAATTAATGGAAGACAAGAGTTTCAAAAAAGCGGTACTTCTGGATAGTTGCGGTCAATCTGTCAAATTAGAAAAGTAAAAAAAAAATCATGTTAACTTAGTCTATTTAATTTCAATAAAAAATTTTTTAATTTTTTTGGGGACTAACGAGATTATTAAAAAATAGTTTCAATCCTAAAAAAAAGAAGAAGAAAAAATTTAGTGAGTACTTACATTGAAAATATGGAAATGGTAAGACCAGAATACGGAGACATAGGGATACTGACATTTTTCGAAAGGATCCATGGAACTTAAGGCCATTATCATTGATGACCTCTGCTCTTCAGAAAAAGATTTCTCAAAATTGAGCAAAAACGTTTCAAAATACTTCCTAAGCAAATAATAGATGAATTTAAAAAAAACCTTGTATTTATAATTGAAGAAGCATATACTCATTTTTGAGCAAAAAGCATAGCGATGAGTTTCAAAAATGTTGTGTAGATAGGAATGTGAGCAAGAGAAGCCCGTTGACCGGCGAGAGGTTTTTAACCAAGGACCGTCGGATTCGTAGTAGGATGCTTTAACCATCATCATTGTACACTTCAGTACAAGGAGAGTCAGAAAGCTTTAAATAGTGGCACCCCATCGACACAACATGGATACTAATTTCCAATTCCAATGGTGCGAAAGGTTGCGATTTAGAAAACATACCCCAATAGCTTAGCCAGGAAATTGGTAATTTTAATTTCTCTTTTCGCTTATTTCAATATATTTATTCTGTTATATTATTAAACTTTTAAGCGAATGGAATCATGATATGTAGCTACCGTTCGTAAAATTTTAATTAATTGCGCATGCTCACATCTAGTATACATACATCAGCTCTGGTGAAATGCGTATACACCCGTGAAAAAATATCAAACTTATACAGGGTGCGTAGCCAAATCTTTCAACAAAAAATAAGCACTTTTTAAGTACTTTTTAAGCACTCAAAAATGCTTTAAAGCACTATATGCATTAACAAAATGCAAATTAATTTTCAAAGACTTTACATGAACATGATAAAATAACTAGTTTCTGACAAAGAACTCTTTTTCTTGGTTTTATTAGCCATTATAAAGTGAGATTTTTCGGTTCGATATCAGAGAGGGAAATATGAAGCCTGAAATTGAGAAATCTTGCAAAATGCAGCAGAGTGAAAGTGAAATAATCTCACCGAACCCAACTCCAGAGCAGTAGCGAGCCTAACTCGCGCCCGGTGCACAATACCTTTTTAGCGCCCCCTCCTTCGAAAACCATATAATATTATATTTTAAATATACTCGCAAATTAATAAAGTAAAATATATAAAGTCATAGGCTCAAGCTAGGCCTTAAATTTGAGACAAAAAATGTAGTTGAGAAAACAAGACTAGATTTTGCAATTTATATGATCATCTAGAATTAGTTCAAAAGATACCTATTATTTATTTTATATATTTATAAAGAAATATTCTAAAAATTCACAGATTTAAAGCAATAAAAAAGTAAATATTCATTATCTCTAAGGAGATACATATATTTAATAATAATATGATTATAATATATTAATAAAAGTAATTACTATGTATGCGGGTTGGCGAGCGCCAGCGAGCAGGGGGCGAAGCCTCCTAATTTTTTAATAATCCCCATCGTAACGTTGAACGTGAGAAAAAAAAATATATGTTTTCAATTATTCCAAAACATGTCACAACGATTGGATATTGTTTAGCTGCAGTAAATCCTACGAAATTCAATTAATGTTTATCACAATTTACAAATAATTCTCATCTTTTTATTTACTCATTTCATCTTTTTATTTACGAAATAACATTTATTATATTACACTGGCACTAAATTTAAAATATAATTTTTAAGAAATCANCAATTATAATAAAAATAAAAATTATCCAGCAATTTTTTGTTTTATGGACCATTTGGCGCCCCTTTGTGAGTAGCGCCCGGGGCATGATGCCCCCCCCCCGTCACTACGCCACTGCCCAACTCCAGTAGACGCACATGCGGACCCGCAAGCATTTCATCAAACATGTTAAATGATTGGCTCTTTCATACACTATGGACCGACGGTACGCCGAAATAGATGGTGGTTTGAATTGTGAAAACGTTGAACAGAACAATGTGAAAAGCGCACTTTTACATAATACGACACGAAAATCGAAATAGCAAAGAAAGAAATATCATTTTCGAAAAGGGAATATTAAGCACTTTTTAAAAACACCCAATGAAAAAAGCATCTTTAAAGGGCTTATAAGCACCTTTAAGCACTTTTTAAAAACGCTACGCACCCTGTTACATAAAGAAAAATAAGAGATTTTGCAAAAACCAATAAGTTAAAAACGCTTACGTAGTGGAATATCATTTTAACTTAGACCACAAAACAAACATGGACGTAGACGATCTCTACAAAGCTGTGGCACATGATTCAAGGTGCTTTGCTCCACATAAAACTGCTGTTCTCTGAGCAGAAAAATTTGCTAGATTTTGATGAATTCAGCGATGAAGAATGAAGCTTTTGTGATTGAAGAAATTCAGTTTCTGCGTGAGGTCTACAAATAACCATAACTTAAGGCTTTAAACTACACGGGTAAGTTAGTCAGTAATATAGCGCGATTCATTTCTAAATTTCATCAATCTTCAAATTCGCATTCCATGTTTTTAGTTTGAAGATCTGGTTGAACAACATTTAACAGCTAGCTTTGTCTTTGTAGAGTTAATGACTCCAACATAACGTAAAGATACGTAGCGTCTAAAATTAACGCGAACACGCACATGGGAAGTTGCTTCAAATCTTACGTGCGGGAGCTTACGGAAACTAACGTAAAAGTACGAAATCTATCCCTATTGAAAAGTACAGATGCTTGATTTCAAAACTGTTTTATTAATGTTAACTCGACACTTTGTAGAAATATAATTAAGTTAGGCAATTTTCAGTTTGGTTTCTTATATAGAGTGCATACAAGAAACCAATTATTTGAAATGCACTCTATATATATACCATATTATAGAGTGCATTTCAAATGCGATTGCAATACTTTTTTAGTCATTTTTTTTATTGTGGTGCTCTTCAAATTGATTTTTAAAACTGGACCTCATTTGAACTTTTAAAAATTATTATTATACTCAGCACTTTAAAGAACCACGTGATCAAAAAGTAACTTTACTAGCTAAATCTACGATGAAAATGTTGCTATTGGAATCTTTAGCTATGAAATGATAAATTGCTCGTGATTATTCAAATAACAAAAATGGAGGAAGAGCGTTTTTGAAATCTTACGTTCATTTACTGAAAAACGAATTAAATCTATTACAGCTATTTTACTGGCAAGATGAAGCGAAAAATTAAATCTTTGCCACTTCTTTTTATTTTATTTTACTTTATTTATTCATATATTTATTGTTGGAATAATTATTTATCTTTCGGGCAAACGGCTCCAGTCGGTTTAGGCTACATTTTCAACAACATTTTTGAATATTTTTAAAAGGTCATTATTCAAAATGTTTAAATTTGAAAATTCTTCATATTAACTTGTTATTTTATTTATAAAAACAAGTATTATAAATTTATATTTCTTACTTTAATTATAAATTTCTTTATAAATACTTGTTATAAAAATTAGTAGTTATTTTTTTACTTACAGTGATTTCGCCATTCAAAGAAGCTATTTATTTATTTATATTCAAAATGCATCAAAACCTCGTGAATAGAGTATGCTTTTATCATTATTTAATAGCGAATAAATATAACCAATAAAAACTGCAAAAGAATTTTGAGTGCTTTTACTTTATTTACTTAAATATTTTTTTAAACGAAATAACAACTTGAATACCATTCAATAAACGTTCAAATAACATTCGCTTAGTGAGGTTTTTTTCTTCTAACTTAATGTTACGAGTAATGGTATCATTTTACCTTATTATCCTCCCAATGCATTTTCGAAATCATTTGTCCTAGTGCATCAAAATTCCGCATTAAAATTTAACCCCGTATATCATAATAATTAGTTCTTCCGGGTATGATAGGGTCCACAACAAAATGCTTGAAATAATAAACTCTTTAGCAGCCAAGTGATGCCGACACCTGCTCGTCGACCTTAAGGGCCGTCTACCTCGATACAGCACTGCATTTCGAAATATTCTATAAAATAAAAGAGGAGGAGGGGGCGCGAAAGTAATTTTGCCGCGCCTAGTTTCTGTTTCGTTTCTTTCATCATCACGTGATGTGAGGGGAGAGTTTTTCAGCATCTTCAGATGCAAATCTGACGTGGTGAGGTCACGTTGTTGGAAAAAGGACTTTCGACCGATTAGCAAATTTTTTTTTATAGTTTGCGTTTTATGACTTCTTGGAGAAACTCATAAAAATGGGCAAGCAAACGATTTTGCATATTTTTTTTTATCTTTCTTTTTATATTTGTTATATGAACTGTGTGATACGGACATATTGTTTTCGTGAGGTCAAAATGTAAAGAAGGTTCGTTAACAATGATTCTCTTTGAAGTCTGCCGAGCAACAGTCCGAAAGTGCTGTTAACTTTAAAATAAAAGCAGAAGTTGCAGTTAGTTGAGTAGTAGTAACTATGAGTTTGACAAAATTAATAGTTATGCAGCGTGCAACGAATGCCAAAAAGCAAATTACTCTGTCAAACATTTGAAGA